TCTTAAATTTAATTTCATGTAGCCTTGCTTTCCAAAAAGTTATTCTCATCCTGGCTGAAGTAGACTGCAGTCTCGATCTCGCATAAGGCTTATTAACTCCCCCAGCGGGAGTCGAACTGTGACAGTGCAAAATGTCGATGAAACAAGGTCATATTTGCCATAAAAATCGACTACACTACTCATTTTTCGTCGAAAAGAAGGGTTTCTAAGTTACTAGTAAATCAGTTATATGAGATGTACTCGCCCTATTTCGTTGAGGCTTGACTCCGGCTGGGTGAGTTGAGTAGACCTGGACGAGGTTGAAACTGCAGTCTACTTTGGCTGGAATGAGAACACCTTTTGGGAAAGCAAGAACATGTGGAATTTAATGTAAATGTCAGCTTTTCTCATATGATTATGGAAAAATTGAAGCACAAGTCTTTCATCACCTTCAACGAAATGGTTTGAATATAGCCCATATTACTTACTATTATTGATAGTAGTATAGGTATCTTAAGGACTAGTCATGCGATAGTGAGAATAAAAGACTCATCCATTGGGCCGTAGATCACTGCAAGCGTTCTAGGCCGTGAAAGTTGTAGATCGGAAATTATTTGGTCTCGATGACTTGTGATGTAGAAATGAAAGCGCTTATGCCTGGGCGGGAAGAGCAAAAAAGCGGGACCGACCTGTGCCTCCTGAGCTGCCTGCTGTTCCTTCTCCTTGGCCACATGCAAGAGGTTGTGCATTCCTCGGCCGGTCTCGCGCTCCTCGTTCACCTGCTCGCGTAGCTGCTCCAACTCCATCTCGGCGTCGTCCAGTTGAGCTCGCAGCTGGTTGGAGTCGAGCCGGTGGCTCGCGGCCTCGCGGTCCGCCGCCAGTCGGGCCGCCTCAACGCGACTCAGCTGGTCTCGAAGACGAACCAGCTCGCTCGACAGACCGTCCGCCTCGAAGCGACTGTTGCGCAACTGCTCGGTTGCTTCACTGGCGGCCCGAGACGAGCTGGCCATCTGAAGAGGAGCCGAGGCGTGTGCGGCAGAGAGAGAGTGAGGGGGGGGGAGCGCAAAAGGACAAGAAGATGGTCGTCAAGGGGAGAAAAATGGGAGTTTGGATACATAGTTTTTCCATCATGAAGGCAGGAGCGCGAATCGCAAAGTGTGAATTGGGAATTGCGATTTGCGAATTGGGAATTGCAAATTGGGAATCGTGAGTGAAAAATATACAATTGTGCATTGTAGATTGTGAATTGTGAATTGTGAAATATGAATTCGGAATTATGAATTGCGAATTGTGAAATATGATTTGTGAATGGCGAATTGCGTATAGTCAATGGTGAATTGTGAGTTGTGAATAGCAATTTACGAATTGTGAATTTCAAATTAGAAATTGCGAGTAAAAAATAGACAATTGTCAACTATGAATTGTGAATTGTGATATCTCAATTTGGAATTATGAATTATAAAATGCTTATTGTGAAATATGAATTCGGAATTATGAATTGCGAATTGTGAAAAATGATTTGTGAATGTCGAATTGCGTAAAGTCAATGGTAAATTGTGAGTTGCGATATACGAATTGTGAATTGCAAATTAGAAATTGCGAGTGAAAAATAGAAAATTGTCAACTATGAATTGTGAAATCTCAATTTGGAATTAGGAATTATAAAATGTTTATTGTGAAATATGAATTTGGAATTATGAATTGCGAATTGTGAAAAATGATTTGTGAATGTCGAATCGCGTATAGTCAATGGTAAATTTTGAATTGCAAATTAGAAATTGCGAGGGAAAAATAGACAATTGTGAACTATGAATTGTGAATATGAATCTTGAATTGTAAATTGTGAAATCTCAATTTGGAATTTAGAATTAGGAAATGTGAATTGTGAAATATGAATTCGGAATTATGAATTGCGTATTACGAAATATGATTTGTGAATGGCGAATTGTGAACTACGTTTTCGGAATTGTGAAATATGGATTGTGAATTTTTGTTTGCGAATTGCGAAAAATGAATTGTAAATGGCTAATTGCCAACAGAAAATGTAGAATTGCGAAGTTTCAATGGTGAATTGTTAATTGCGAATTGTGAATTGTGAATTTAAAATGTCGACTTGTGAAATATGGATGGGGAATTGGGAATTATGAAATGTGAATTATGAATTGTGAATGACGAATTGCAAAATATGAATTTGGAATTTGGAATTGTGGAATATAAATAGGGAATTATGTATCGCGAATTTCGAAATATTAGTTATTAATGATGAATTGCGAAATATGAATTGTGAAGTCTGAATTACGAATTGCAGAATAGGAAATATAAATTGTGAATTGTAAATTGTGAATTAAAAATTTCGACTTGTGAAAATGAATATTGAATTTGGAATTGTGAAATATGAATTAGGAATAATATATTGCGAAT